AAAACTGTGGAGCAGGACTCTGGAATTGGTGCAGCAGGATAGGGGAATCTGACTGAGGTTGTGGATCTAAGGCGGGGGTTATGTTTCTAGAGAGAAGATACTTCAGCAGGAGGCTATGTGGAGGCACATCCTCTCCAAAGCAGAGACTGGGTGTTATATAGGCACACATACCAACTTCTGTGCTGGGGGGCAAGGAAACCTCTGGCTTCTGTACCAGGGTCATATGAGCAGTCAAGCCTCCAGACCTTTAGAAACACAGTGGAGGGCTGCATCCATGATCCATGAGATAGCTGCATGTGAGGAGAGTGGATCTGTGAGGAAACAGGTGACAGTAAGTTGTGGGGCATTAAAAATAGAGGAAGTTTAGAAGAGGAGCTAAGTTCAAGAAGTCAAAACATTAATGTCAAGGAGGTCTGGCTCTCTGTGCTGCAGCCTCAGTTATAAGACAAAGTTGAGGCTTTGGCTGAAGCTGTCTCTATACAGTATATTTGAGGCATTCACTGCCTGTCCTCCGGGACCAACAAGTCTGACCCTCTGGTCTGATAGCTCCGGTTCACATGGGCTGATCTGACAACGAGGGAATTTACACAAGCTGATTGTGCGTGTTGTACTTCCAAGGTAAAGTTATGAGCAGTGGCTCTGTTCTTTCTCACAGACAGAAACAAAAATATTTTTATCCAGATGTTGTGTCCATCTGTTTTTTGTATTGTAAAGACTAGGAAATAATGCCACCTCCTGTTTGTTGTCTTTAACCCTTGGCGGCAAATGCAAAATGTTGTCCCCAAAGGATCGCCCATCTGGTGCCAACTCTAATGAGCTTTTCAGTCCCAGACAAAAGCTGCTTTCTTCTTTCTAGGTATACAAAAGTTGATGTTCAATCCATGGTGGAAGAGTGTTCAGTGTGAGGCAGGGGAGGATGACTTTATTTCTCCTCCTAATAAGTGGGGCTCCGAACATTTGCCTATTCTGATGGCATTGCTGTCAGTATATCATGCGTCATTTTCATCAGTTTGAACTACTAAGAATGACCTATACCACAGGGAAAATCATACATTTTTCTATTTTACCAAAAGAAGGAACACCCTTTCTGATTTTCAACCATGTGACCATGCCCAGGTAGTGACTAAGCAGATTCTTTCTTACTTGTCTACTGCCAAAATGCCATCCGACTGCTTCCCTTCCGACCACTGGAACTGCTTATACAGACAGTAAATACTTTTGAATGTGTTTGAAAGGCACCATATTCTAGTCTGTACAATAGAGTAGAATTGAGAGGTTAGATGGCATGTTCTGCTAGGATGATAAGGTGTTATGGTCAACTTCTTAACACAGTCTGCTTTTGGACTAGGGAGATAACTGGGCCAGGGCAACTGTGATCTTGTTTCATGGCACCAAAATTTAGAGGGCAATGAAAACTAGAGGTGAAGCTACTGGTGAGTGTAAATAAAATAAACTACAAGAGTTCTCAGGCCTATTCACTGCCCCTATATTTCCCTGGATGTACACACTTCCTATTTCTTTTAGGGGTACACTATATTACCCTCCTTCTTGCCTAGGCAGTAGTTCCAAAACTACTATTACAGCTCTGTATCAAAAGATGACACGTAACAAGTTGTTGTAAAGTTGTTGTAAATGGCACAGCAGTCAAAGAACAACTTTGGTGGTGATGGGGATACATACTGACTTTAAATGGCACAGCAGTCAAAGAACAACTTTGGCGGGTTGGGGGAGATACATACTAACTTTGGAAGACAATCTGAGGTTTGGTTTCCCTCACAGGCTAGCTTTCTGCAGTGTTTTCCTTTGTAATTGAGGTGGGGCAGGTATGGGAGCAGTGTCAAACTTTGAAAGGAGTGTGATGGGAGGGCTGAGAGAAGAGACCCTTTGCCCTTGACAAATGTGGTCTTCAGCTGCTCCAGAGAGAGAGAAAAAATGAAAAAGCTCTGGCAATTGTGGCCATTTCATTAGGTTTAACATAGGTTTCAATCCAGGTACTACACATCTGTGCTGTCTCTCCTCATTTCATTAGGTTTAACATAGGTTTCAATCCGGGTACTACACATTTGTGCTGTCTCTTCTCTCCTCTCCTCTCCTCTCCTCTTCTCTCGTCTCCTCTCCTCTTCTCTTTTTTGAGGTAATTTTGCACAGCTGTCTTAAGCAATTCTTTAACCACAATACACTAAACAAAATTAATTTGCTTATTAGCGTAAGTTTAATGAGACATACTAACAGGTAAATAGGTATAGGCTGGATAGGAAAGGGATAAAACTCCTCTCCATGAGTGCTGTGGTCTTAGTGGAAACCAGGACTTTCCCTCCACCATAAAACTCCTCTCCATGAGTGCTGTGGTCCTAGTGGAAACCAGGACTTTCCCTCAACCCTGAAATAATTCTGTTCCAAGTGTTGTTTCTAATGATGTCTTTAGCATCATTCACATCAGTCACAATTTTTCCTGGAAGAAAAACAATTTGTTTCCAAGACGCACAGACTTTCCACACCCCTGTTTTGTGGGAAAAAAGTGAGTCTTATGGTGCAAAAAATACAGTAATTCTGTTCCAAGTGTTGTTTCTAATTATGTCTTTAGCATCATTCACGTCAGTCACAATTTTTCCTGGAAAAAAAAAACAATTTGTTTCTGCAAAAAGAGCAGCAGCTCCTTCTGTCTGCGGTGATTTCCTGGGTCCATTGTAAATACTGTAATTTGTTCCATTTCAAATGAAATGTCAACCAAATGAATTACTTGGACGCTTGAGATGAATGAGCTGTAGAGAATTGCGCCCAGAACAGCCGGCAGGCAGGAGGGCAGTGCCAAACAGGTACCTAGGTGGGGCAGGAAAGCTTTGGCAGAGCACTCCTTTCTCCTTAAATCTAACTTCTGCACAACCTGGAACAGCTGTTTTGCTTTAAGAAAAACACCAAGAAGATACAATCACAAACAATACTTATAGTATTCATTAGTTTATGTGTTGCCTATCCCCATGAAAACTAATAAAGTTTATTAATAAAGCTTATTAATAAAGCTATTAATAAAATACACAATGAATTACTAAAATATAGTACATATAGCACTTGCCTATATGCCACACAGAAAATATGTTTTCAGCCGAAGCCTAAATTTTATGAGTGAAGAAAGCAATCTGATCTCCACTGGGAAGGACTTTTTCATCTGGGTTGCCTTTGCTGAGAAGTGTGTGCCTTGTATGACTGCCCAATGGGTCTCGCTTATTATGGGCATCAGAAGCAGAACTTGCTCAGCCAACCTTTAATCTAGGGTTGTCCAGTCCAGGGGAAAGTGGGCTTTAAAACACATCTGGGTCCTGAGCTGCTTAGAGAAGTGCACACTGCTGCGAATATCGGGCACAAGGCCACTGACTTAAAACTTTCCATTTTGTTACCTTTTGTCTTTGACATTTACGGTACTTTTGCAAACTATAATGGAAAATCACTCCTTAAATGGCCCTTTCAAAAGTTTCTGCTCCGTGCTGCTGTGGGCAGATAACACACAGCTTTTTGATGGAGCTTGCTCCATGTGTAACCTTTTCCTCCTTTAATAGTATAAATGACCAAATGTTAGTAATCATTGTGCTACTACTCTTACTGTGTTTCGGAAATATTTTTGCTTCCTTGCCCCCTTGTGCTATATGTAATGAAACAGATTATAAAACAATACAGGATTTAGTTGTAAGGACTGTACGTTATACAGAAGAGATGCTATAGTCTTTCTGTGTGCCTAGTTCATGTGTTAATTCCTTATCAAAGATAATTCATTATCCATTTGGATATTCTTTGCATAAGATAAGCCCAGATGACATACATTTGTTGAGAAATAATCAGCTCCTGTATCCTTTCCATTTGAAGGGGTGCTTATTTTTCATAGTGCAGCTACAGAAAGAGGGAAATATGCTTGGATTCCCCGTGATCTGCATTTTTTTCAAATCAGGTTTCTGCAGGCAAAATTACTGTAGCTGTACAGGTATCAACAATTTGGAGGAATCGCCAGTGGCAATGGCAGAGAGATGTGTTTGCACATCAAAAGCTGCCTTTGACAAGGTGCTAACTGGCAATTTCCGCCTCTCTTTTTTAAAATTTAGTTTTTAAAAAGTTTCTTAAATACTCTACTAATAATGTGTTCCAACACTGTTTTGAAAGCCTTTTTTAAAAAAAACACCCTACCACTCTTTGCAGAAACAACTGCTCAGCTGAAGGGAACTGACAGCCTCACAAAAACCCATTTACCTTTGAGTCAGACAATCACACACTGTAGAAAGCAGACAAAAGCGCTGTCAACCTGATCGGAACATATTTAAATAAGCCCTGCTGATTGAAAAGAAGAAGAAGATTCCCCATTTAGAAAGAGATTATCCCATTGGGCTTCCTCAAACTAAGTTTTACATTCTGTAGTCATCATGTTTTAATTAGAATTCATTTGCCCCCAACCCACTACCAATTGCCAGGTTAAATGCCCAGTGCAGTTACCCACTTTGTGATATAAAATCGTTTATTTCAAGGGTTCCAGGGCTCGTTTAACTTATGAGTTGATAAAATCTACCAGATGTGGTAAACATGAAAACATTATCTATTTTGGTTCATGATCACATTGCTTTAATACCAAACATCCATTTCCTCTTCCAGCAAAGGATGTAATTCTAGATGATCACGAGGACACATGAGCACTGAATTCTGGAAAAAAGAGGTCTTTATAAACAGCTAATTTTGAATTCATTGAACAGCACCTATTATGTACATTTGAGTAGTGAAACTGCAGTCTGCTGCATTTTAGAATTCCCCATTGAGTCACTTTTCAGGGATCATTGTTTGTGAAGAGTTAAGTGTCCTTTGCTTTTGAATTTTCCCAGTGGTGCAAAGCTTCATGCAGTGCAGAGCAGTATCATTTATGTCATCAAGCTGGAATGCATCATTGGCTACAAGCATCCAATCAGAGCTCAGGCTGAGGGTTTATATAGAGAGTGATTTCCTCTGCAGCACCAGAAAGTGGGCAGTGTTCTGATTGTTAAGAGAATCAGCAGGGCTGAGACTTCTGTTGTTGCTGAACTGGCGGCAACTGCATAGACTATAACACACATTTGCCACCATTATTCAGCTGGTAAGTGTAACATCTTTAAATCTTAATTATTTTAAGCATGAAACTGCCACAGCATTTAAAAAAAAAAGACTGCTTCTTTACTTCTGGTCATTTCACATCCTTTTGATTTATGCCTATTTGCAAGAAGCCTGGATGTATGTGCAACAGAGAATTTTAAGATTTTGAATCCCCCCTCCTGGAATTTTCAGAAGAATGCTACAGCCCACCTTCTTAGTAATTTCAGGCAGGGAACATACCCGTGTGCTGTATGAGCCTGCTATGAGGTACAAGTGACTGAAGCAAGATGCTTATTTTATCTTTTGTTGATATATTATGCATGTGCTTAAGGACATGAACTTAATTATTGCAGTGCATTATGAGCTGTGGATATACGTTTCACTAAAACTTTTTAGTGTACTTTTCAAAATATTTCTATTTGTTCACACTTTTCTATATGCCAAAAATTGCATTGCCTATTATGGTTTTGATCTCTGTGGAAATCAGAACACAGCATTAGCCTCAAGAATACTGTAGATGTAGATGTTTGGGGGTGCCTTTAAAGTTTCTATAAGCAGGTAAGCCAATTTGTTGTGGCCAATAACTCAAGAACATGGTTCTACTCTATCCTTCAGCAATGGTTTCCACCCAAGAGGGTTGTCATTCTTGCTGCCTTTGAATACATTGATATAATTATTGGTGGGATTCTTTTAAGATGGAACGTTCCTCTGTTTAACACCAGTCTTTTCTCTGCCAATGTCTGAGCAGAGACGTTTCTTTACCACTTTCCCTCTGCATCTTCCTGCCGTTTTGCCTCAGGGGGTTCAGTTTAGGGAACAAAGCATTCTTGCAAGCTGAGGGACAAAGGTAATTGCTACATAACCAAGGCTGTTGTCGCATTAAACATCTGCTAGGTCTGCCCCTTAAAATTTCACTGGCATGTTGATGCTTTTTATTTGAATTAAGCAGAATGACAGTCCTGAGGCTAGTTCAGACAAGGGTAGATGAGGTATGTGCTAAAAGGCAACACCTTTATTCTTAGACCAAACTCTCTGTGCACAGGGGTCACCTGTCCAATCCACAACTATCTGCACTACAGCCAGGGTTAGGCACTCGGCAGATGTTGCTGAGAAAGCAGTGGTGCCTGTGAAGCATGGTTACACACCCACTCATCGGGCTGATTTGAACAGCAACCGTTCCTCAACTGGAGCAGGAACCCACAAAAAACAGTGACAGAGATCGTTTTAAGGAAAGCACTGGGAAACCTGCCATGGCCTCTGCCCAAGCACATGGCTGGCTGAAAAACCATATCCTGTTTCTTCTGTGGCAACCTTGATGAGAGGAAAAGGATTATTAGGACCTGGGCCAGGAGAAAAGCTTATGTAGGAAAGGGAATCGTTATCATCATCATCTTAGAACTGCAGAGCTGGAAGGGATCCTATGGATCATAGAGTAAGGAGGCACAAGTGGGGAATCGAACTCCCAACCTCTGGCTCTACTTAAAACATTGAACTATCCTGAATGTTTGTCTCTTATACAGAATCTGCTTTAACTCAATCCTAATGATGTTAAAACAGAACAGTTATAATTGCAAGTCCGTGTAGTTATATGAATATGTGCAGGGGGCGTGGTTTGCTTTTTGTGTTTGGTGGTGGTTCTACTCTTTTTAATATGAGCACAAGGCGATCATAGTTTAATTGGCTTCAGTGTAACCACAGCCTGGATAAAATTGAGAAAGCTGCCTAGGATTGTTACAAAAAAAATTGCCTCCACAGAGAGGATATTGTCTGAATTCTGGCCAGGGACAATGTAGAGTGGCATGAGCTAGAGGCCAGTGGAGCCAGATTGCTCTGAATAACAAATCAACAGGTGTCAGTAGCCAAGCGAGTGAGAGATGACCTGCTGAAGACAGAGGAAAAGACAACATCTTGTAGGGATGATCATCTTCAGGATCACTAGGAAGGAGACCAGCTGCTTGAAGGCTGGGAATGTATAGATAAGTTCCACCAATCACAACCAATGAAGGTGACAGCCAATCCTGACGGAGCATTGGGCAAGTCTTTGGATCACTGGCAGTTCCGTTCCCCTGGTGCAACTGTCTTTCAGCCCAATCCTGTGCATGTTTACATTCGATGTTTCTTGTGCATAGGATCACAGCTATGTAGCAGTGTTACAGTGGGATCCTGTTACAGAGAGGTATGCCTAGGATTGCCGCCACGGCTGCAGGCTTAAGCATGCTTACCAGGGAACAAGCACTGTTGAACTCAACTAGATCTACTTTTGCATTGTAAGTCTCTTAAGTGACTTTAAGTAACCAGAGCCCACAGCTCTTTCCCCTCTTGAATATGTAATTTAGCCATGATGAGGATAGCAGTGAATGAAATACCAACAAACAAACTTATCTATTTTCTACTCCATTGTTTTCCTGCTCAGCTGACTTTGCAAAAATAAAAAACTAGGGGTGAACAGATTGACAGTTCTCTATAGTGTCTATCAGCTTTGCTTATGCCTTGATTGTCTATTTACACAAATGGGTTGCCTGAATCAGATTGGTATTAGCTTGTCTCCTAATTTGGAAACAGAAATATGATATGCCTATATATTTCCCAATACCTTCCTGAAACACTGCTCTTTGTTGCTACATGCAGAAATGAAATAACCTCAGGCTTTGTAAAGATTTGTTCATCACTTTCAGGGGATAAGGTGTTGGCTTTAATGAGAAAACTACCACTCAGTATGCAAGCAAATTTTGTATGAGAGAGTCTACACCACACAAGTTGAAAACATGCACCGTTTTAGTAATGGGTCTGCAATATTTATACTTTGAAGTCTAATTGTCAGATGGCTAAACACCCGCAACATGGCAAGTGGTTGGATCAGTGGTAAAAGATACCCTAACATGTTTTCTTTGTCTGCATCACAATCCTAGGCAAACAGTTTTAGAACTAAGTCCCATTGAGTTTTATGGGACTGAGGATGCAACCGGATAGAGAAACAGGTTGCATTTTGGACTGCTTGCGCCATAGTCTGGTGTGAGCTATTTTTCGATGGTCGGACAACATTGAGAAGATTGCGAACCAGTCCAACCCTGCTTTGGGCCCAATTCGGATCTTGTTTGGTCCAGTGGCAGAGCTATTCTTTTTTTGGGAGGGGGCGGAATCTGGGCTGGAGTGATTCTCATAAGCACGAAAAGGTTCCTTTAAGGGAGATTGCTCCCAATGCAGCGACCCTTTCAAGCACAAAAAGATCATCATGAAGTAAAGAAAAAACAATTTAATGCAGTCATTGCTTCATGTTAGAAGGCTGAAGTTATTCTTTTCCTTTCAGAAATCCTCAAAAAAGAAGAACCAAAGGAGTGAACCAAACTGCTGAAAATAGGAACTTCTTACCCAACGCCATGAAGTTGCTCATTGCTGTCTTTGTAATGCTGAGTGTTCCCATCCCAGTCAGAGAGGCATCAGTAAGTTTTGCAACCAGGAGGGAGTCCAACCGGCAAGAGCTAGGGCTTATTTCCATTTTTGACCATAAATGCAAAGCTTCCTCTTTCATCCACCCCAACATTATTTTTAGCCCCTGTTCCTCTCTTGTATTTTTTCTGTCTTGTTTGTGCATGTAATGGAGCATGTTCTCTAATACAGCGCTGACCAGGTTCCTGTAATAAACAGCCAAATATTGTTAGAGATTTATTTTGCAGCATTATGTGAGCTTCCATCTTTCCTGGGTGCTGGGTCCCTCAGGCCAGAAACAGACATTACAGGACACTCAAGAAGAGGGAATTCTCAGCTGTTGCAGTCATTTGAGTGTCATTGGTATCTCACCTCTAAGATTATGCAAATTGGCTTTACTTTGTTTGGGGATCAGTCTTAAGTGTGGGATTCCTTTGAAGTCTGATTTCACAAACAGTGAAATATTCCCTTCCGTATGAATGGCAGTGGCAGTTTTGGGGATTCTGTGAACTTGCTCTGGATTTTAGTCTGCACTTTACAGGTGCTATCCAATGCGGGGGGCCTATTCTTCAAAACAGATTGCAGACAAAAATGCAGAATGAATTTACAGTACCCCCAAATTTGTCTTTACCAACCACTGCAGATGAATGCATTTTCAATTCTAATAATGGGCTACCTCCACCATTTGCTTCTGTCCTTAGTCTGTCCACTGATTCCAAGTCTTTTCCAACTGATTTCTTCTTTGGGATCCTTTTCTTCTTATTTAACCACATCTAACCAACTCTTTATAGTTTTCCATCCCCACCTCACCTCAGGAAGACCTGTGGCTCTGCAGATCTTGGTGAACTACAGGTCCCATCTGCCCCCTGCCAGTATGGTCAATAGTCTGTCATTCTGCAACATCTGGAAGGGCATATGTTCCTCACTCCTGCCTTGCATTCTGAAGCCTGGTCTATTTATTTTGATCCTTGATTCTCTTTCTCCTGGATTCCCTAGACTGCTGACCCTGGAATCGGAACAGTAGCTTATTCTTCCTGTTCTGATATTCTGTGATACAAGAACAGATCAGCCAACCAGTTTCCCCCTACAAAGTAGGGATTTGATTTGATTTGTAACAGAAAAGAAGTATAAACATCCGTGGATAACATCTGCAGATTTCTGCTATACTTAAATTGAGAGATTTCGCGGCCTGGATCTGATGGTTATCGTGGGTTTTTCGGGCTCTTTGGCTGTGTTCTGAAGGTTGTTCTTCCTAACGTTTCGCCAGTCTCTGTGGCCAGCATCTTCAGAGGACTGGAGTAGGAACTCTGTCCATGCTCTGTCAGGAACAACCTTCAGAACACGGCCAAAGAGCCCGAAAAACCCACAACAACCATTAGATCCCGGCCGTGAAAGCCTTCGCGAATACATTACCCATAATGTTAGAGACAAAAGTCAGTACTGTAAAACATCAAGTGTTCCTGCAAACCAAAGTTATCAAGTTTTAATTTAGAACAATTAGAATGACTGCAGTTTGATCTTTCAGGCTGTTAGACCTTAAGGACAAATATGGGGTGTTTTTTTTTGCCACTTTTTAATGCATTTGGTAAGGATTGTAGAATTATAAAATCACAGCTTATCAATTGTCTTGCCGGAGGCTAATATATAACATCATTTTCCTGTGCAAAAACTGGAAATAATAAACTATGTAACACATTTATTCTGATGTCAAATCAAATATGAAAAAGTAGTTTGAGATCTGCTTAGTAATAGGTATTACATGTCGTCAGTCACTTCTGACTTATGGCAACCCTTTTCAGGGTTTTCTCGGTAGAGAAGGGAGTGTTTTATTGCTCCCTTCTTTTGGGGGCATCTGGGACTGTGCAGCTTGCCGAAGGCCACCAGGTTGTCTCTTTCGGGATGCACAGTGGTAAACTGAACTCCCAACCTATGACTCCACGGCCAGATACCAAATTCTGCACCTCAGTAATACTTTCATGTATTTTATGTAGAATAACACATTCTTTCTTATGGTTCTTTCTTAGACTTATCATTGGCACACACCAAGAAAGCTGGGAAGCAAGACTAAATATGAACAAAAAGGTAAAGAGATATTTGCTGCTTCTCTTGCTATCTTAAAACATTGTTGGTTTGAGAACGAGACTGTTTGCTGTTTGCTTCTTATTTGGTTGGTGGGTCCACTGAGGTTGTATAACCAGTGTTTGCATGTACTGGGGATCTGGCACAAAGTAAGAAGTTTGTGTAGTCCATAATTAAAATACTGTTAAATGGAGTCCTGTGGGTATGGTGTGCACGTTAGAATTTAGTTTATAGTAAGCACTATTAAAATTAGAAATAAAAAAATATTTTAAAAAAAGTTTGTGTAACAAATATCACATGGCGTGAAATTTTATATTTTTATTATGTCTTCTTTATAGATTGTACCTGTTTTAATGGGGGAAAGTGCATCACCTACCATCTGTTTTCTCGTATGAAACGCTGCTTATGCCCTAAAGGATATAGTGGAGATCACTGTGAAATAGGTACAACACTTGACAGCTTTCTGCATTTCGTACAAATCTACAGCCAGATTTCTCTGCTCCATTTTTCTTAATGCAAGCCACTGTGTTAGTCTGTACTGTGGCCAGGGACACTGCTACATGTTATCTTTCCCACCTGACTTTGTGAGTTTATTTCTCTCTGCTTCTACTAATTCTTGATGTGATGATGATGATGTGCAGCAAAAATCAAGTCTTCGGTGAAGATGCTTAAGAAAGAATCTGAAGGCTTGATTTTTGCTGCACCAGAGCAAGCACTCCAAACCAACGTGATGAAAGCTAAGATCCAAGGAATTAGTGCTAACAGCAAATGCCAACACTGCCAAGAAAAAGATGAAACTGTGTTACACCTCATCTGTGAATGGCCAAAGATAGCACAAACAGACTGCAAAGTTAGATATGATAGAGTGGCAAAGTTAGTGCACTGGTCATTGTGTAAAAAATACAACTTGCCAGCCTCCGAAAACCCATGGGAACATCAGGCAGAGAAGGTGTCAGAAAATGAGGAAGTCAAGATCTTGTGGGATTTCTGGATCCAAACAAATAGACACCTTGAACATAACACACCATACATAGTAGTACATGATGGAACAAAGAAATGTCTGGATTGTTGACATTGCAATTCCCAGGGATGTGAGAGTAGAAAATAAAGAATTGGAAAAACCAATAAAGTACAGAGACCTGGCAAATGAAACATCTTGTCTCTGGAAGAAGCACAATTCCGTGGTCCCCATAGTCATCAGGGCTTTGGGAACAATATCAAGAAATTTCACACACTACTATAAGCAGTTGTAGATCTCAGAAATCACAAGATCAGTGCTACAAAAAACAGTAATATTAGGAACAGCATACATACTGTGCCGATATTTAACAGATGCTTAGGTTTTTTGTTAAAACTTGTATCTATTATATAATACCAGTCAATGTTTTTTATAATTTTGACTGTGCCTAGTGTTTAATATTAATATTATTGTTGTTGTTGTTGTTGACGATGATGATAATAATAATAATAAAACAACTGCAGAGCCCTTATGAAGGGGCCCTATGGAATATTAAGCCCAGCCCCTGTCAAGGAGGTACTGTGGGGAACTGAACGCCCAACCGCTGGCTCCACAACGATATACCTAAATCACTGAGCTATCCAGCAATTCATTGCTGTTGTTTTTTCATTTGGACTATGATTAAGAAATTGATTTACTTTCACAAAAGTTGCTAGAGGTAGCTTACAAACAAAGCAGAAACATTTCTCATCCTATGATATCTGGATCGGTGCCTCCTCGTTCTGGTCACAAGCTATCTAAGACCATTACTGTGGATACTGGATGTCTCTTCCTACCTAGATTTTGATGTTTGTGTGGCAACATCTTTTGTCATCAATATTAGGATCAAAACTTGCAAAAATTACTTCTACAAACCAGAGAATCCCATTGACCAGCATAATCCAGCCAGGGAAAATGAAAGAACTATGGGGTTTAAAAAAAATCTAATCCCTCCTTTGAATGCAAGTCACTTTGAATGTTGCATAGAAAAAGGCAGGACTGCCTTACCACTGGCAGTAATTCATCTGCCTCCCTCAATGAAAACTGATAATCATCTTCCCTTCAAGATGCGGAAAGTCATTGTTATACTGACAATGGAGAAGACTACAGAGGGATGGAGTCAGTGAATGAGAACAATGAAAGATGCCTGGCTTGGGATTCTCCCATGCTGAAGAGATGGCCTTACAATAATGAGATGGAGAACGCTCTGGAGCATGGCTTAGGCAAGCACAACTATTGCAGGTAAATGGAATGTGGAGCTGGTAGATTTCTATACCTCTAAACAGACATGTGCAGTATTTATAAATATACATTACTGTATATACATATAATGCCTCTTTATTGTACATGTTTTATTTACCAGTGTTCATGGTTGGTGTGGGATGGATGGGTTTATGATCTGCTGTTTATTGTCTTTTTTAGTTTGTTGTAAACTTCTCAGAAAATAAACAAGTAAACAAACAAATATCCTGGTGGGGATTGTAAACAATGAAGTCGGGGAGGGAGAGATCTGCTGTTTATTGTCTTTTTTAGTTTGTTGTAAACTTCTCAGAAAATAAACAAGTAAACAAACAAACAATGAAGTCGGAGAGGGGGGGACTAAATACAGGACATTCAGCCAGTAATAATTACCTTAACTTTGGCTATTCACCAGGTGTTCTCCAGTGGTAACCTACTATCAGCTGATATATACATGAATACAAATATTTCCCCTTGTTCAAACCATAGTGACTAGAACTGAATCTCTTTGTGGATCATATTTCAGCAATTATATACTGTATTTGTATTCATGGGCGAAGTAGGTATCTTAAGCATATTATGTGATCCTGGTCAATTTGAAGAGTCTTTGCTGTCCTCTATAGGTGGCATTTGGTATTACTGATTTTTCTGAATGTTTTACTGTTTCTCAGAAACCCAAATGGCCAATCCAAACCATGGTGTTACGTTAGAAAAGGATACCGAACTTCTTCAACACCCTGTGATATACCTACTTGTAAAAAACGTAAGTTGTTGCCTGGAGTGTCAGATACTACGAACCTCAAAGCCAAAGTAGATACTAAGAAACTGGAATGCTGTTTCAAGAAAGAAAACATGCTGTGCTCTAAGAGTTTTACAGACATTTGACTCATTTGCAAGGCGGGCTCTCTTAGCACTGCAGAGAAGAAAGGGAAGGCAGGAGCAGTGGAGAACAGTTTGACATTGACTGTTATGCACAGAATTTGCAGGATTGCAAGGGTAAAATAACAGGTCTGGGGAGCCAAAATGTTCCCTTGGGGAAAAGGGAACATTTTGCTCACACATTCATGCTTTCATTCCTCCACTGCAGCTGGCTTGTTCAAACATCAGCATCCTTGGCACCACAGATCCTGGACAATACAGTGTCTGAATGTCCTTGCTATTCAACAGGACCGCTAGGTGCCCTAATGGCCCCAGGCAGTGCCTGCCTGCAGAGCTGGAGAAAGGCATGATGTGGCTTGACAACATGATGAAACGAAAACACTTTGTCAACAGAAAACTCTCACAATCTGTTAGAAGGATCCAAGCCCAGTCTCCTCCCTGATGTACTATGTGCTCCTGTTTGGTGGGAACATTATTAAATGCAGCCCCTCTTTGCAGTCCTAATCGGTACGGTCTCAGGAAAAGTACTTTTTTCTATGCAATCTTGCTGAATATGTGCCTCAGCCCTTAGTGCTTGCCCAGAAAAGGATAAGCAACAAAGTTTCAAGCACACCTTGAGTATCATGGGGAGGAGTCCTAGAACCTACTAAGAACCTAAATTTTATTGTGAAGAACTAAAGCAGGAGGAACTATCTGTTGTATGTGCTTCGTCTAAGTAAAATTTCATGTTTTTTAAATCCTCTTTTGCTTTAAATTTTGCTCTGCTTTCCAGAACCCACATGTGGCCAGAGGAGTATGAATAAGAGCTTTAAGATTGTGGGCGGGCGAAAAGCAACAATTGAGTCTCAGCCTTGGATAGCAACTATCTTCCAGTCTGCCAGAAGAGGTCCTCAGGAGTCATTTCTTTGTGGCGGTAGCCTCATAGATCCGTGTTGGGTCCTCACAGCAGCTCATTGTTTTGATACCAAGTAAGGACTTCATTATCAGCTTTGTTCTCCAACTAATGTATTGATTTTCTTGGTAGAGGTTCTGCAGACAAAATCTAGTAGGGCTGTTCCTTCATCAAAGAAATCTTTAACACGCCAGCCTCTCAAGCCTGTAATTATTCATTGGGGCCTCCAACTTTCATGGGCTGGTGAGGACATGCAGCACTTTGAAAAGGTGTGCAGCTGTCACAGGTGATAACCCATTCTTGGAAAGCACCCTTTCTGGATAGCTACAAAGCACCCTTTTCAGAAAAGCACATTTTTCTCAACCTGGTGAGGCTGAAAGATGAGTAACATGTCCAGTAAGCAGAGTACAAGGTAGAAGTGGGGTCTGAACTCCAGAACATAAAATCCTCTACTTCAAATACAGTTTTTGTTCCAACAGAATTGCATCTCACAGAACGACAATGTGAGGAGGCTAAAAGACAACTTGTCTAAGATTCTGAATACATGGCAGGGGTGGAGTCTAAGCTCAAAGCATAAAACCAGCCCTTTGAACCCTTAGTTCTCTCTCAAATTCAGGATCATAAACCCAAACACACACACACACACACACACACACACACACACACAGAGAGAGAGAGAGAGAGAGAGATATTCACTGCCCACTTTCAGCAGAGACAGATGTAAATTTCTCTTTCATACATATATACTCTCTGCTTTTCACTTCTGAATCAGGACACCCCACAGCTATTCATAACTTCTCTTGTTCTTCCCACACACTATTCCACCTCAACCATAGTCTCCGATTGCCTTTTCACATTTTATCATCTCACCTATCATTCCACCTTGTTTACCCCATTACTGTCCCTGTTGCCTTGCTGCTGTATCCTGGTGTCCCACTCATGCAATAGCAACAGCAATAGGAGTTGTAGAAGGGATAGTTGCGTTAGTCTGTGCAAGTCTATGAAGCAATAGGAGTCTCTTGTTTTCTTCTCTTGTATTCCACTTAGGCCAGCCAGGAACACTAATGTCATTCTGTCCTCCAGCCAGCCATCATCTTTAGCTTCTAAGAATGCCCTGAGTCTATGTGAGGCCCAGTGGCATTGCAGGGAATAAAGAAGGCAGGTGGATGGAGGCCAGTAATTTGTACACATAAAATAATGTTTCTGCAGTTAAAGTGAAACCTGCAGACACTACACAGTCCACACCCAATTTACCCAAATGTTGGGTCAACGTAATTAAATGGAACTTATTGTCTAGTGTGTGCATTTAGGGTTATGGCATAAGGTCACAATGATATACCCACTAAACATTATTATTTAGCAGTGCTGATTAACTCTATTTTTAGATTATCCACACAAATATTAACAGTGAAGACCATTTTGTGGTTGTGGGATGTAAAGTTGCTTCTGATTTATGGCGACCCTAATAGTTTTCAAAATATATTAGATGGTTAAGACATTTTTTTAAATTGCCACCCTCATTGTGTTTCCATGACTGAATGGGGATTTGAACCCAGGTCTCCTAGAATACTAGCCTAATACTCTTTCCAATGTACCATATTAGCTTGGCGGCCAAGGAAGATTTCCTTCATATGAGTGACAGAGGATGTAAGAATGCCTCTTCCAAGACAGACTCTGTTCAATTGCAGCATTCAGTAAGTCTCTGTATTCAATGTGGGAATAGCTTTTAAAAAATAATAATAATAATACAACATTAATAGGCTAAGAGATCACCTTAATTGATAAGAAGCCTTGTTTACATAGTCTAGACTCTAAACAATCCATCACTATGAGTGTCAACCACAGAACCCTATAAAATGCATTTCGATTCAACCTAAGAAAGGTAAAAGTAGGTCTCAATGTTCCTAGCAACTGGGGCATTATTATTACTATTATTTAAAATATCTTACCCCATGTTTTTCCACAAAGGGATCCAATGAGGTATAATTAAAAGAGAGAGATAAAAATTCAATATTAAATAAATTAGTCAATATTTAAAAATAACAAAATATGCATTACGTTAAAGATGTCAAATAAAAGCATTATTAAAACAGATTAAGAACAACACAATCCTGATCATCCTGATTTTAAAACTGGCCAGTCATGAAGGGAAAGCTTTCCTGAAGAGAATGTTCTTCACCAGCTTGTGGCAGGACAACAAAGATGGGGCCAGCCTGGTCCTCCTGTGGGAATAAGCGGGAGCAGTGATAGAGAAGGCCCTCTCTCATGTAGTACCCACCAAATGTGCCAATTGTACACTAAGACTGAAGTCTTATATATACTGACTGGAAAATAACTCTCACTGGAGACTGAGGTTTACCTGTGAGAAAATATATTTAGGCTTGCACTGTAAGTAGAAAAAACCAAAGGCTAAAAGGTGGTTTATTAAATTGTGAACCCTTGCTAATATAGATAATATAAGTTGACACTGTAGGACTGTGCTGAACAAGGAAGATGGACAATAGACCTGAAGTGGTTCAGAATCATTTGGAATGCCAAAAAAGATACTATGCTCCCTTGTTGTAATTATAGGTTGTACAGATGGGTTTCTACATTTTGCTAGTTCATAACAAGATATCCTTGATTTTTTTTTAAAAAAAGAGAGAGTATGGCCACAAAGATTGGAACACAAGGAGCTAAAATACCATCAATCTTCTAGCAAAACATTATGAGGCCCAAATGGGGGGGGCAACATTACATTATAGTTATTTCCATTCATAATGAAGAAGCCACAAAACTGATACGATGAGTGTGGGGAACGGGGATAAAAGGGGCAGCAAGAGAACGGCAAACAACATTGTGAACATGCCTCTCAACATCTTTGTAACTTCCTCCTTTTTCCCCTTCTTTTCAGGGCTCTCCAGTCATCTCAGTTCACTGTTGTCCTTGGAAAGTCTGCACTGAATGCTACTGATACAAAGGAGCAAAAATTCAATGCTGATAGAATTATTGTTCATGAAAGATATTCGCATGCAAGGGGGGACTATGATAATGACATTGGTAAGGTGACATCTCAGTTTTCCCTTCTGTGTCCCTG